TGCAGAAAAGAAAGCGAGCGTGTTATCAGGAAGAAAAAGAAAGTAGATGACCAGGAATTGAAAGTTGTTCACGCGTAAGTTTTTTCTCTTCCTGTATATCAGTCCGTGTACGTTTTTATCAGACAGTAATATCTCCTGGATGAGTTTAAATTTTTTTCTTCTGAAAGGTCCTTGTCTCCTGTGGGGGCCGTTGATGCTCAGTGCCCCCATTTATGTGACAAATTTTGGGAATCCTAGCGAAAAAGCAGCTATTGAGTAGGAAAAATGCATGGAATTTTTTATATTTCCGGAGCTATACTGCCCAATAATCTCGATATTCCAGGCCTCAGATACCATCTGCAATGTTTTTGAAATATAACACCGATCTCGGGCCACCATTTCATGTTATTGTGGACACAAATTTCGTCAATTTTTCCATCAAATATAGAATTGACATGATGCAAGGATTTATGGATTGCCTCTATGCAAAAAGTGAGTTTCAACCGATTCATTTTTAAGACCATTTCCAGACTTATTTTTTATACTTTAAAGTATTTGGCCGGGAACCCATGGACCCTTCGACTGTGGAATTTTTTTTTTTTCCAGAATTCGAACTTTGCTTGGATTTTTTTCATCATCATGTCTTTCACTCCGGTTCGATAATTCACTTGGCAACTTCTCCATTCTTCTCTGTTTTGAGCACACTACGACCGCATAACTTTAATGAGGCACTCAGCTGGAACTTTTCACCGTATTGGAGGCTTTTCCAGTGTTTGTTTAATTTTTATTAGTGATAATAAACCTGATTATTTTAGCAATCCCGTACGTAACGGACTGTGTTGTTGGTGAATTGGAGAAGCTGGGGCAGCGATGTAAGGTGGCGCTCAAAATTATCAAAGATAGTCGTTTCAAACGTCTGATATGTTCACACAAAGGCGTCTATGCTGATGATTGCATTGTGCAGCGTGTCACTCAGGTATTATTATTACTCAGTTCTAAAAATTATTATTCATTTCTTAAATTGTACGTATACTTCGGTTCACTGACAGACGATTTCGGTAAATTACGTAAATTACTCGGAGTAAACGAAATAAGTCCTGATTAGTTTTACAAATCTGGGAAGCGAAGATTGTCAAGGTATTTTCATGCGATTTTTGATCTCTCCGGTATTGTGCATGACGAGTAACTTTCATTATACGATAATTTTATAAAATGGATTTCTTTTTTGCCTTTTACGTCAAGAAACAAATTGGACAGCTCGCGATACAGGACTGACTAAAGCAGTCAGGGAATTCATAAATTTTGTAAAATATTCTATAAATTACAAGTAACCCGAGTCCAAATATGAGTCTGGAAGTAAAATAACTATGCTCACATATTTCTATTTATCAGCAGTAGACCTTGTTTTTCAGCATAAATGCTACATTGTTGCCACTTGTGACAAAGATTTGAAACGAAGGATACGCAAAATTCCCGGTGTACCAATCATGTACATAAGACAGCATCGATTTTCGATAGAACGCATGCCGGATGCATACGGCGCACCCGTGAACTAACTCCTCCTCTCTCACCGTTTATGTTTTTGTTGCTTGTTCGTAAAAATATATAAAAGCACGGTTATTTTGTTCAGCAGTACTGCAAAAATCTAAAAAAATAATTCGGAAGTTTGACGAATCTCCCAAGTATTTCTTAATGTGTTTAGTGACACTGAGAAAAACTTCCCCCGTTGCTATGGCTAATGGTGCATTATCCTCTAGTAACTCTCTGCCGAATCACGTCTCCTGAATTATAAATTTAACGTTTCCTATAGCGGGAGCACTATTTCCGAGATGCATTTGCTGTATCTGCCGCGTAAAGGTTGCATAAAACGCATACTGTCATGAGGTTGTCTGTGTTTGTCCGCAGCAACTTGTTTGTATATGGTCAGTGTTTGGAAGATGGTGGTGTTCAGTCTGTGTGCATGTGACTGAACACCACCATCTTCCAAACACTGACCATGTGTAGGTACCATACCGATCAAGAGGCTCTGATGGTTTTTTTTTGAAAAATTTGGAAAGAGAGCTGTTTTTAATTTCTTTAAACGTATGTTTTTGCACACTGGAGGGCAAGAAATAGCAATACTGAGAGAGGAAGACAATCACAGAGAGAG